AGATAGGCACGAACAAGAGAGCATTCGTCAGGAAATACAAAAGATTAAGGGTGTGGGTGTGGGTGTCGATGTGGGAGTGTGGGTAGGGCGCGGATGTGAGTGTTGGTACCGGTGTCGATCACAAGAAGAATGACACCCACACGCACACTCACATTCACATCCACACTCCACCAGAAAACGTCATAAAGTCGCAATAATCACCGTAAAATCTGACCTGCAGGATTGATTTCACGTTGATTGTTGCGACCTCATGACGTTCTCTGCATCGCGCTCACCCACACCCTTTAATTCTTCGCAAAACCACCACCATCGACACAAGCATTCTTCCAAACTAAAGGTTCAATTGTTAAACGAATGAAATCGGATGTAATATATTATATTAAATGCAATGACTGTGGACAATCGTATATTAGCAAGACGGAACATTAATGTATACAAAGATTACTTGAACCAAAAACAATTTATCAACAATAACAGTGCAACCATGCAAGTGATAATCTTAATGATAACAACAACATTACAGAATTAAGATCATCACGGATAAAAAACAAAATAGTAGCACCAATAACAACAGACGACGATAACTACGATAATAAGACTGCCAAGTCATCAATTACTCAACATGAAAAAGAATCAGGTCATCATATGGACTGGAGTAATTTACAGATAATATGGCAAGACAATCATTATTATCGTTTGTTAATTAGAAAATCATTATTGACCAAGGATTATGTACCAGAACTCAACAAAATTACATATTCGGTACCATTACTTGTTTTCTTGATGACCTACCGAGAGTTCTGTTACATAATCCTGATCATTAATGAAACTTAAAGTCGTTTGTTATTGTATCTTCGTTTTTTCGCTTTTTCGTTTCTTTATTTCCCATTTTTTATTCTTTTTGTGTACTCAAAAAGTGAGTACACTCTAGAATCGGTTAGTATGTTCGTCCGGCCGGCAGGCCGTTTACACGATAACTTTTGAAAGGAGAGTCCGATTGCGATGAAATTTTCTACATACTTTAGTCTCAACAATATCTCGGTCGAGTTCGAAGATGAGAAGGATTAGCCGAGCCGTTGCTGAGTTATTGCAAAAATAGTCATTTTTCCCTACGCCTTCCTATGCAAGAATCGACCTATCCCCGCTTTCGTAAAAAACTCTTCCTATTATAGTCAAATCAAACCCCAACTATTATACACCATTCGATAGAGAATTTCACGAGCTACAAAATAGTATATAAAACATAAAGAAATAAGAAGACTAACTCACCTATTGCGAGGGTAATTAAACGGGAATTGGTTCTGTTTGTGTCCACACTCTAATTGATCGACAATTCGAGCTCTGCCTTTCGATCATAGAGATGATAGTTCGAGGTTTTTTGGGTCGGAGAACTCCAATCTGAGCTTCGTTTGCCTCGAACTCCTATTGGTTGAGCAGTAACCAATAGAAATCAAGTTATCGGAAAAACGACTTTGTTAGGGTAAATCAAGGCGAAGAGTTCAAATCTGAGCTCTATTCATCTCTAAATCCTAGTGGTTGAGCAGTAGCCAATAGAAATCAGCTGTTTATAGAAAAGGTTTGCCAGGATAATTTTTATGCCCACACATTCTAGGATGACTCATCTATCTCATTCACTTTTTGAAGTGCACATAACTCTCGGATTTAAATCCGAGGTTTCCACATTTATTTTTTCTTCCTTTTTGTTTCTTCTTTTTGTTGTCTTCCTTTTTCTATTCATTTCGTTGCTAAAAGTATAATTTTCTAAGAGCTGAATAAATCTTGAAAATGATGTCATAACTCATCGAAACGTCGAATTATTGTGTTTCTTTTGTGGAAAATATCTTCCATAATGTTATACAAAGCTGCTATTATCTTATCATTTATTATCAAAAAAAAGCTGTCCGGTTTTTTTCGATTCTCAAAAACGAAAATTCCGATTTTCAACTTTTTCATCTGGCATTTCTGACCCACACCCACACCACTCACACAAACACTCACCCACACCCACATCTACACGCATACTCTTTTGAGATGATTAGGATATTTTTCACTGTGTACACTGGAGTTGGAACCAGCAGAATTTCTGTTACCGGTACTAGCTCTCCCATATTCAGTGAGATGTGGGTATGAGTCTGGCAGTGTGTTAAGGAGTCTTTTCTTTAAGCATACTCACATTCACAGATACCCATCCATATGTATACCCTCATATAACTGTTCTAATTTTCCTATGATTGTGATGGAAAAGAACTTCATTACAATAAACTGTAAATATCTTTCGAAAAAAAGCATTTCGTACTCAATTGTGGAAACGCTTACTTATTTTCAATGGAGATCTAGATTTTTCGGATAACAAAATGAGAAGCTTTGCATCGTATTTCGAAGTCGAGTGAAACTTCAATCTCATGCGGCGTACTTTCTAAGTATTTCGCATGAAAAATTTCCATTCTGTAACGTCATGTTCTCGAGAGTGCAAAATTCAGAAAATTAGGTTATAACATGAGAAGATTTCAAAATGGAGCGAAATAATCTGTTCACTAAATCTTTGAAACAAGTTTACTTTCTCCATAGATAAAGCAGAAAAATGATTTTCGAAGACTTCGCTTTCTCAAGATAATTAAAATGAAAGTAACAAAGAGGGATAGAGATACATCCTTCTGGGCAATCATTTTTATGCAACACAGCTGTAAGGACAGCTGGGTGTGGGTGTGTCTTGGCGTCTTGTCTTCACCCATACCCACACCCACATTCACAGCCACCTTCTTTTTCTGAATTTGTATATCTTATAAAAAATAAGTAAGCTCCGTGATACATCTAGTTATCATAATATCGAACAACTGCGATGTGGCAGTATAATTAAGTAGCCATTTCTATTCATTAAGATGACTACGTTTCCGCGATATTTTATTTGATAATCATCAATTTTCAAGTTATCTTTATTACCGATTTCATGTGCGGTCTACCATGTTAATAAATAAATCTTTTGCCGCGATATCCATCACCTGCACGATAACTGCTTTGATTGTGTTTTATGTGAATTATTTATATCCATCGAAGCATTTTGCCGTTGGGAAAGATACAACTTTAAAAACTAGTAATGATTATTTGTTTGTTATCATAATGTCATCTTATATGCGGAAAAACGGTCGATCACCGTACTACATAAAAAAGTCGGTGCGATCAATACTTTCTCAGTCATACTCTAACTGGGAACTGTTCGTCACTGGAGACAAGTACGAAAATGATACAGAATTTCGTTCACTTTTCACAAGTATACCATCATCAAAGTTATTTCTTCACAATCTACCAACACCTGGAGAACGAGGTAAGCTAACTGGCATTCAGTTATGGCAAAGTGGTGGTGTTACGGCGATGAACAATGCATTGCAGCGTGCTGAGCAGCATCATGAGCATTGTAGATCAAATTGCAACGTATATTTTACGAATCTTGATGATGATGATATTTGGTCAACAAAACATCTGAATGAATTGCTATCGACCTTCATGCGCTTTCCATCGGTCGTTTTCGCATGGACTAAAGGATACT